TTTGATATCGTGCGCCGCTTTTGCAAATGAAAAATGCTCTCGCGCCGGATTACCAGGCGCGTGCAATAAATTAAAAGTATATAAAGGGAATAAAGAATGTATGGCGCAAATTTACCAGATCGGGAACAACGACAGACTTCATGTCCGCCGCAAAGTCATAAATTGCGCGTTGCAGTCGAGCAGCTTTGAATTTGAATTCAAATAAATGCACTGCCAGTAGCGCATTTAAATGAAATTCAAAGAGTTGCTGGCGTTTTATTCATTTGGACTGTTGCTTTGATAAATTATTAATTTTAATGGGATAATAAATAGCCTTTCAATGAAAAGCCTAAAGCTAGCAAACAGAACTTTTTTTACGATAAAAATTAATAAACTCTCTGCCGTTTTATTTGAAAACTCATTAGCGAGGAAATAGATTGACAAAGTAAAATGAAAAATGTAGGTGGCTTATTAGTTTCAAAAATTACTAATTAATTAACCTTCAAAAAATCAATTATATTGTTACAGAGAATCAAATTAAATTGTAATTGTTTTATACTCTAATAAATTATTTATTGAAATGGATTTAGTGAAATAAATGAAATATGTGTACGAGTATTAAATAAGTAATTTATTTTCAAGATTTTTGCCACATTTCTCTTAACAAAACATCTGCGAGCACGTTCCGATTCAGTATGTCTAATACACTCAATTAACATGGAGCTAAACATGCACTTAATTGAAATTAACGGCTAAACATTCCATGTGTTGCGATTCACTGTAATTATGCACCGGCTCATTACGAGCTATGCAACCCGCTCGTCACGTGCGCTGAGCAGGTTGCCTGCCTATGCAAACATTCCTCTCTCTCTTTGAACGTGGTCTCCTCTCTCTATCTCCGGCTTCGAAACGAGCACACAAAGCATAAATCGCACACAATGCGAATTGTCACAGCACTCTGACTGGCCGGACGATCGCACACTGCCGGTGCACATTCAGCATCATTCCATTATGCACCAGCCTCACATGATGTGAGGCCGCCGAGAATTGAAAATAGTATAATGGTGGTGCCGCGGCACAATTGTATATGTATGAGCATTCAGTTTTATTTCGAGGTTTGCGCACCAACAGCACTGGTGACATGCAAATAACGCACATGTGGCCGCGAGTAGCATTTGTGATCATTTAGAAGTTACGTAGTTTAAAATATTTGTTTCTCGCTATATATTTTAATTAAATCTTGGTTATTAAAATATAAACATTAAATTTTTATGTTTATTATTCAGTATAAAAATAAGATTTAAATTTTTTTTCTTTTCATTAGATAAGTTGTACTTATATATTGAAATGCTCTGTTTATGTGTATTTATATGGATGAAACTCCATTTATTATTGGTGGTAATATTTAGTTCCAGGGCGCTAATTTTTAGTTCTAGGGCGCTAATATGTATGTAGTTGCAGGACGCTAATTTATATATTCAGGGCCGAATTCTTAGTGGCGGGGCGCTATTTTTTTTTTTGTTCCAGGGCGCTAATTTTTAGTTCTAGGGCGCTAATATTACTTAAGTTGCAGGGCGCTAATTTATAGTGTCAGGGCGCTAATTTATAATGTCAGGGTGCTAATTTATAGTGTCAGGGCGCTAATTTATAATGTCAGGGCGCTAATTTTTAGTTCTAGGGCGCTAATATGACTTTAGTTGCAGGGCGCTAATTTATAGTGTCAGGGCGCTAATTTATAGTGTCAGGGCGCTAATTTATAGTGTCAGGGCGCTAATTTATAATGTCAGGGCGCTAATTTATAGTGTCAGGGCGCTAATTTATAATGTCAGGGCGCTAATTTATAGTGTCAGGGCGCTAATTTATAATGTCAGGGCGCTAATTTATAGTGTCAGGGCGCTAATTTATAATGTCAGGGCGCTAATATGACTTTAGTTGCAGGACGCTAATTTATAGTGTCAGGGCGCTAATTTATAGTGTCAGGGCGCTAATTTATAATGTCAGGGCGCTAATTTATAATGTCAGGGCGCTAATTTTTAGTTCTAGGGCGCTAATATGACTTTAGTTGCAGGGCGCTAATTTATAGTGTCAGGGCGCTAATTTATAGTGTCAGGGCGCTAATTTATAGTGTCAGGGCGCTAATTTATAATATCAGGGCGCTAATTTATAGTGTCAGGGCGCTAATTTATAATGTCAGGGCGCTAATATGACTTTAGTTGCAGGACGCTAATTTATAGTGTCAGGGTGCTAATTTATAGTGTCAGGGCGCTAATTTATAATGTCAGGGCGCTAATTTATAGTGTCAGGGCGCTAATTTTTTGTTCTAGGGCGCTAATATGACTTTAGTTGCAGGGCGCTAATTTATAGTGTCAGGGCGCTAATTTATAATGTCAGGGCGCTAATTTATAGTGTCAGGGCGCTAATTTATAATATCAGGGCGCTAATTTTTAGTTCTAGGGCGCTAATTTATAGTGTCAGGGCGCTAATTTTTAGTTCTAGGGCGCTAATATTACTTTAGTTGCAGGGCGCTAATTTATAGTGTCAGGGCGCTAATTTATAGTGTCAGGGCGCTAATGTTTAGTTCCAGGGCGCTAATTTTTAGTTCTAGGGCGCTAATTTATGGTGTCAGGGCGCTAATTTTTAGTTCTAGGGCGCTAATATTACTTAAGTTGCAGGGCGCTAATTTATAATGTCAGGGCGCTAATTCTTAGAGGCAGGGCGCTAATGTTTAGTTCCAGGGCGCTAATTTTTAGTTCTAGGGCGCTAATATTACTTAAGTTGCAGGGCGCTAATTTATAGTGTCAGGGCGCTAATGTTTAGTTCCAGGGCGCTAATTTTTAGTTCTAGGGCGCTAATATTACTTAAGTTGCAGGGCGCTAATTTATAGTGTCAGGGCGCTAATTCTTAGAGGCAGGGCGCTAATGTTTAGTTCCAGGGCGCTAATTTTTAGTTCTAGGGCGCTAATATTACTTAAGTTGCAGGGCGCTAATTTATAGTGTCAGGGCGCTAATTTATAGTGTCAGGGCGCTAATTCTTAGTGGCAGGGCGCTAATTTTTTGTTCTAGGACGCTAATTTTTAGTTCTAGGGCTCTAATATGACTTAAGTTGCAGGGCGCTAATTTATAGTGTCAGGGCGCTAATGTTTAGTTCCAGGGCGCTAATTTTTAGTTCTAGGGCTCTAATATTACTTAAGTTGCAGGGCGCTAATTTATAGTGTCAGGGCGCTAATTCTTAGTGGCAGGGCGCTAATTTTTAGTTCTAGGGCGCTAATTTTTAGTTCTAGTGCACTAATATGACTTTGGTTGCAGGGCGCTAATTTATAGTGTCAGGGCGCTAATGTTTAATTCCAGGGCGCTAATTTTTTGTTCTAGGGCGCTTATATGACTTTAGTTGCAGGGCGCTAATTTATAGTGTCAGGGCGCTAATTTATAATGTCAGGGCGCTAATTTTTAGTTCTACGGCGCTAATATTACTTAAGTTGCAGGGCGCTAATTTATAGTGTCAGGGCGCTAATTTTTAGTTCTAGGGCGCTAATTTATAGTGTCAGGGCGCTAATTTATAGTGTCAGGGCGCTAATTCTTAGAGGCAGGGCGCTAATGTTAATTCCAGGGCCTTAATTTTTTATCTAGGGCGCTAATATTACTAAAGTTGCAGGGCGCTAATTTATAGTGTCAGGGCGCTAATTCTTAGTCGCAGGGCGCTAATTTTTAGTTCAAGGGCGCCTATTTTTAGTTCCAGGGCGCTAAAATTTAGCGGCCTTCAACTAAGAATTAGCGCCCTGAAACTATTTAATAGCGCCCTAGAACTAAAATTAGTGCCCAGATATTAATGCTTATATTGTGCCCTAGAACTATAAAGTAGCGGCCTGGAACTAAAAATTAGCGCCCTGGATCTAAATATTAGCGCCCTACCACTAAGAATTAGCGCTCACTTTAATAATTAACATCTCTATTTTTATAAATCTTGTTACCTCATAAAAAAAACCTAGTGCCTATTATTTTAACATTATTTTAGTTTTAATTGGTTGAAAATAATGAAATGATTTACAACTTGATTTGGATTTGGAGGAAATTACCTTTAATAAAATACTTTGTGTATTCTCAGGACCACGATAATATTAAGAAGGGGAATTTTTTTATTAAGGGGGTTTGTAAGTTTTGGAACACTTGATCTCGTGAAGGGATAGAAAGGCAAAGCATTAATTTTATGTAATTTTATAGATGAAAAATAATTTTACTTGAATGTACCAATCACGATTATGTCGCTATTACTAATTGATTATTCATTTTCGCATTCACCCATTTGTGGGGAACCACAATGTGGAATAAAATTAAAATTCATAGAGCGACGTGTTGTGCATGCATGCACGAATTTATTCAGCGAGAGCGACATCCGCAGGCGACTCTTTCTCTCCCCGTCCGTCGTTGTATGACGTGTTAGTCTGCCAGGGCGCCGGCTCGTTCATCAAAGCCGTGTTTTTGTTGCTGACGGTCTCGTCCCTCGTCGGCGTTGATGTATTTGCTGGGGAATTTATACATATGCGGACGTTACGTACATATGAGGTGCATTATTATTAGAGTGCCTTTGACCCCTCCGTGTATGCGGACGTTCATCGCAGCAGGGCCCTGTCGAGCGGACTCACTTTGCTGTCCGTTGTCGCGTCCAGCAAGATGTGGGGCGTGACTGATTGCTTGCATGCATGACCACCTGTGTAAAACTGCTTGTTCAAGCCAGGATTTATTCCAAAAATCTGACGTGGAGCAATTATTCTCTCTATGGACAAAATCTAACAAGATATAAATTTAGTTAAAAATTAAATTCTTAAAATAGAAATTTTTCAATTATTGTTAAATAAAGTTCCAAAAATTATGAACATAATGAAAAATAAAACCATTGCAACTGATTTTAAAGATTTAAATTAAATATATATAATTTTGTGTGTAAACTTCTTCGTTACTATTTATTTCACAATTAATTTGGCGCATATTTTTTGGTAAAAGGAGCATTATTTCCATTTGTTGCAGAGTCCGTCGCCGCCGCAGTACGTGTTTTGGTATCACAACGAACGGATGATCAACTACGACACGGCCAGGGGCGGCATTTCTGTCGAGACGGAGCCCGGACCGAAAACGCACAGCCGACTCATAATACGTGACGCCCACGACACCGACTCTGGAAACTACACCTGCAGCGCTTCCAACACGGAGCCAGCATCAATCTACGTTTTCGTCTCTGAAGGTAGGACAAAAACCTACTAAATTTTACAGCAACAAAATCCTGCAATTAAAAAATTATGCAAGCAGAACTTGAATTACCAATTTAAAAATTTGTATAAATCTGCATTGATTTTAAATAACAATAAGAAATCTTAATTCTATATTCAGGGATAGGTCCAAAGTCCATTTAAACGCGTTTGCAAATTAAATTATTCGATGGTTCATATCAACTTTATTTCCTATTTAGAAATTTAAGCTTTTTACTTATAAAAATATGATTCGGATCGTGTTTCAACCAATTTAAAAACACAAAAAAGGTAAAAAAATTAATTTGTTCATGGATATTATTTTAAAGAGGAACATTTTCCAATGCAATTTAACTTGGGCTGTTTTCCACCCACCAGTTTTTATTCCCATTGGGCAAAACTTGTCCGAATCTGCAACAAGCACCACCTTTTGCATATTAAAATTCCGCGCGGCACACGCTATACCGCACTGGCGAAAAATTATGTGCCCTGAATAATGGAAAAAGCGCCATAAATTAAGTGCACTGTCAGCAACGAGAGAGAAAACAAGCTAAATAATTCAGCCCGAGGGCTGCATGCAATTGGACTCCATGTGCACCTCTGCTCTCGTCACCGTAATTTTGCGCAGCCGTTTGTTATGCAAACTTGGGTGACCTTTTGGACTGCATACGGACCGAATACTAGATCGGACAATTTGTCACAGGATTATTTTGTGCTTTCGGGCTGTGCGATACTAATTTCCACCTCGCTCTCTCTCCCACTTTGATTATAATGAAGCGCTGCTTTTGAAATGCACACAGTGTGTGTGTTTGAAGTGCTTTTGACATTTTGGCCGGCAGTGCTTTTATGCCAAATTCATTCCACGTAGGTGAAAATTGATCCTGCAAACCGAAGTGTGTTTTTGCAATTTGCCGTATTTGGTGATTTAAATACAGATAAATTCCAAATTATTCCCAGAGGTGATTTGCGATTTAGATTTTAGGCTCAAAAAATTTTAATCACACAAAAAAATGCATTTTTTTCTTCTCTTTGGAAAGTGATGGAATAAAAAATGATTTGATTAATGAAAAAAAGGATGTAAGAATGTAAAATGAATTCATATTATAAGCTCTAGGCAAGTGAACAGTTTTAATACTTAATAAAAAATTTGTGATACGTGATGAGAAAAAAAAACTTTGTCAACCGAGGCTCAAAACGGCGGATGGGGTATTTTTGATCTCGGAAGTTTTAGAAAAATTCTTGCTATAGCGGTGGTGCCGTTTTATCCACCAATTCCTTTTATAAAACGATTTTTTTCAACAACTTAAATTTTTAAATTAAAACTCTCAACTCAAAAGGCATTCAAAATATCCAAAATTAACTTATCTACTTTTTTAATAAAATCTTATTAAAAAAAATTGAAGAAATGGATTATCCTCTGCCTTCATTTACTCTATTTATAAAAATTTGGACAAAAATTACAAAGATAATGCAATGATTTGCTTAAATATGACAATACCTGAGACTTTCTTACCAATATACTTAATTTCGCCATTCTAATAAATTGATATTTAAATACTATTTTCATTTCAAGATTCATTTGAATGACCAAATAGGATGCGAGTGAAAAAATTGCGTAAAATGAACCAGCAGCGGCCACTCGAAGTTTCGAGAAGGAACATTGGATTTCATAAAAATTACAACAAGAGCGGCGACTTTTTTGTCCTATTTTTGGCACCAGTGTTATGTTTTAAGTAAGCGCCCACCAGGCAGGTTGAAAGCATTTTCACTTTAATTTCAAAGTGAGTGGGTTTCGGAGAGAAGCCGGCGGTGTTTGCGAAGTGCACAAAAGCTTGTTTACCCAGCAGCGCAGCCCATTCATAAGCAAGGCTCGTTCGTTCGTTCGTTCGCTCGCAGAATTACTTATCGCCGAAGCGGCGGCACCGGTTTAATTGGCGTGGGTGCTGCGGCAAATTGCGCACCCTATGCACAATGGGCGAAAACGCTACTTACGCTTTCCGGGCGAAAATTCTGCTCAAGGGATGAAATTTAATTTCGATTCTCAGATAATATAGAAAGGCCGCAAATATAATTCTCTGCTTGCAAGATAGAAACACCACGAATTCGTTCGAAGGTTTATTGATTCCCGAATCCTGCGTTAATTAGTTCCATTTTGCCGGCAGGGCCGCTTCTAATGCCAGGCGATTAAATATCTCAGTTTATTAATAATAGTCAGTGGTAATATTATTTCGAATTGCCGCTTTCAAAGGTCAAAGCTTAAAATTGATGGCAGGGTGGCCTAACTTTTGCGGCGTGTGGCGGCTTTTGATAGTGACTTTGTTATTTGATAGCGCAAAACTGATACACCTGAAATGTGGAGAGCTAAATTGAAATAACTCTTCTCTGTGAACACTCTACATTCGGATAATATGTCATCAACACGAGCCGAAATTTAGGTGAAATCCAAGGACCGTGATTACGTAATACGTAATACCTTTTTACAAATTTCAAAGTAATTGCCTCTGTCCACCAAACTAACACGCTGAAAACAATTATTCTGAAAAACTCGCAGCAAAAATTATATAAAAAAAATCACAATAATTTAAAATATAATTATACTTATCAAATATTAAAAAAAAATATGGAATAATCAAAAAAATATCAAATAAGTAAAAAAAAAAATATTAAATAATAAAATAAAATAAGAAATAAATCAATTATAAAAAAGAATTATTAATTATTAAAATATTACAATAAAAAAATCAAGAATAAGACATTGATTAAAAAAATTTTAAATTGGCAAAACTATCCATTTTTTCCTTAAAATTTTTTAAATTTGTTAGCGTTTTTTATTTATATTTAATAAGTGAGACATTATTTTTTTATTATCAATGAAATTAATTTACATTTCTGTATATTTCTTTCCTTTTTTCCTCTTGGCGGGGATAACTGTGATCAAAAACCTGGAAACGATGATTTTACATTTATTTACCTTTCACTGTTAATTTTCAAAGAAAAACCAAACAAGGTCAAAGTAAAAGTGGTATTCACATTTATTTTTTTATCTTTCTGCGTCACGCAAGGTGACGTGTGTTTCATTCATCCCAGCCGTCTCATCTTTGTCTCCAGAGACAGAAGCTATTTTCGTCTCTCTTTTCATTCCGTATTTGCGCTTCCCTTCATCATCGCTGTAAAAAACCTTTTGTGCGCGATCGCAAATGCTGGTCTCGTCGCTGCAGTGACCCCGTTTTTGCAGCGCGCACTTCAAAGAAAAAGTACGCGTGTATCTCCCGCACACACGTTGCGAAGTTTCTACGAGAAAAATCTGCTTAATTAAAATAAAAGTCTTGCCAAGGCAAATGTACCATGGGGGTTGAATCTTTCGAGTCTCATCTGCAAAGTCCGGAATGTAATAAAAGGCACACACGTGCGTCCATTAATGATGATTAAAGCTGGTGTAATGCAATCGAACGGTGCATGGAGTGACTAAGCATCTCGACCCGCTGCACGTGTGTCGCCTTTTTGCTGTGAATAATGTGAAAATCCAATTATTGCCTCCATTGAGAAGAGATATTGGCGCAGCATCGCTGCAGGCAGTTCAATAATGGATACTTTTATCCACATCAATTTCCTTTATTTCGCCGAGCGCGGAGCTTTCGATGAAATGAAATCTGGCTATTTTGCAGCGAACGTGTGTGTTTTTTCCTGCTCGCTGCCGGGGAAATCGTTTCCAACTCGCTATCCCGGCGCTGATTGCAAATGAGAATCTGAAACTTCGATTTCAGCAGAATCAATTTTTCTCGTGTGTGCTTTTTTTAGCGCAAACCGCTTCTTTTTTTTTAACACACGAAATATGGCAATACAAATCGAAATAAACGCAATATGACGGCATCAAAGCTTTTGCACTCAATTCCCAAAATGTCGACAAACGTTCGTTACTTTTCCGATTCAATTTGGCGATTAAGTTCACATAAGTAAATGCTCCGAAAAATGTGAAATGAACGTTGAATTGGAACAATTTTTTGTTTAAATACCATGGTTCATATTTAAATTATTGTTAAACAGTGCAAATTATCACCAAGTTAAAATGTAGATATTGAAACCTTTAATATTTGCCATTGTAGAAGTGGAAATCAAGTTAATTATTTTCTTTTGCACAGCAATATATAAAAAAAAAATTCTTGCTTGTTAGTTAGAATTAACAAGATATTATTGTTTTAAAACTAAATAAATTTGTTTAATTTTTTAGTTTTACTTTTTATTTTAAATAAAAAAAAAGTTGGTAATAAAATATGATAAAATTAATTTTAATATTTGATTTCTATTGTACAATATAATTAATAATAACAATTTAATTTTAATACTATTATTTATTTTTGTTAATATTAAAATTGAATTTATTTATTGAGCTGTAGAACAGCTCTTGTAATTATGTCACATTAATGTGTGTATAAACGACGTGTATCCCTCGCACTGGTGAGGTTCTCCGTAGATAATTCATTAGGATTTTTATATAGTTCCAATGTAAAATTGTTTCTACTCGATGACAGGCTGGTAAATTTAAAAAGAATAACAATCACACCAATATTTAGCAAAATAATGACTCAATTTTAGCTACACGTCGTCCGTTTTCCATTAAAACACTTGTTATTTTGATCGCTCTTTTAAATGTCTTCTTTTATTTCCCCCGCAGCGTGGAGGCTGAGAGAGTCGAATTAATTGTCCGCGGAAAGAGAAATGCTTCCTGTTTTATTTTCCGGGAGAGCGAAAACAATTACAAAAAGAGAGACGTGATGTAATTTTTACGGCGCAATTCGCTCTCTCTCTCTCTCTCTTTCTTTCTGCCAGGCAATCTTCTTCGTGCATCATTTAAAAAGACGTACTTTTCAAGTGTCCGTCGCGAGCATCAAACTCGCATATATGTATGTGCGCCGCCGCCGCCGTCGCTTTTCACTTATTTACAGCTGCCGATTCCGGCCTCTCTGGCGGAGAGAAGGAAAGTGGCGAATAAACTGGC